GCGGAGACGGTGAGCTTACGACGCCTTTGAGAGGCAAACTTCTTGGAGAAGAGCATCGCGAATGGTTCAAAATTCTCTGGTACACCCCGCTCTTCCCAAAAATCAAAATGACTATTATACCCTTGGGGAAATTTGTCAAATTCCATCGTAATATCCATGAGGACTGAAAATGCGAACTCTCGGTTCAAACGGAGTCGAGTTTCGATATAAATCGAGTAAGTTACGTACATTAGTTGAGTTTCGGATTAAGCTCACCCGTAATTTATGAAATGCCCAAAATACCCCTCGAGTTAGTTAAAACCCAACCCAACCCAAATCCCATTCGTCACGCGGCTTCATCAGCGCCAAAGCGGCCGCCCTCAACTCTCCACCACATCCCTACGTAATTGTTCTCTTTGATTCTCTTCTACGAGACATGCCTACTTAAGCAAGCAGGAGGGCAAGTCAAGATAGTGGGGGGCCGAACTCTACGAGACCTTCCTGGGCAACAACAGCGCGCAGGCAAAGGTGGAAGCGGAACGACGCGCAGGCGAAAGGTGGAAGCGGAACGGATGATCCGCACCTGGGCTTTCGTTTCCACAAAGCAGTCTCGGCCTTTCCTTCCACAAAGCAGCAACCGAGCGAGATGGGTGGGCAGCCAGTATTGCTGTTCTCCCCTCTATTGTGACAGCTGCCTGCTTAAGCAAGCAAGAGGCGGGAAAAAGCGACGATTCAGTAGCGGACCAGGGCGGTCGAGATGGGTGCGCGGCCATTCTCCCCTCTACCATGACAGTTGCCTGCTTAAGCAAGCAGGAGGGGCGAAACAAGGATCCGATTGGGTGAGCGGACAGTGGGAGAGGATCAATTTGGATACGAACAGGGCAAAATCCAAAACATGTCCCCTCTATATATTCCACCTAGAAATCACAATTGTTACCAGCAACCACACCTGGGAAGTAGTGGTGGCCATCTCTGGAGATGCAATACGGGGAACCGATTGAAGGAGAATGGTTTTGGATAAGTTACCTACACTACTCGCATTTAGTTAGTTCGTAGAGGAATAACAAGTGAAATGGTTAAGTGAATATGTACATATGTGGGAGGTGCTTTAACATGGCTTGAGCAATTTGTTGTGGTTGATTTTTGACGTCTGAGACGAATGGAGTTGATGGGGTCGATTAAATGCTAAGTTGTTCTATAACACCTTTTCGAATACCTAGTTCATGAAGCCGATGGATTTTAACTATATAGTCAGGTGAGTATAAAGGGGGTAAATTCTACGCCTTACGATTTTTCAAGTATTTGCCTTGAGTATTTTTTAAGTATTGATTTACGTGATGTATGTGCAGTATTTGATTCATGTCTGAGATTGCATGATTATATTTGATGGTATTTGCTTTGCTTGAACTATAATTTGAAGCGAAGGTGTATGAGTTTATCTCTTACTTTGAAGTTTTAAGTTTATGAGTTATTGTTAAAGTTTAAGAACAAGTTCATTTTAAGAAGTACTTCACCTTCGAGAAGGTGAAATCGTTTTAAGAGTTTTTAGTCACTAGCGCCAGTCCGTTGCCATTTGAGATTTTGAGATAGAGCAGCAGTTATGCTCTTGAGACTTTTAAGATGAGCACCAGTTATGCTCTTGAGATATTTTAAGATGAGCAGCAGTTATGCTCTTGAGAATCGTGGAAGAAGAGCCTTCCACGATAAGTTTAAGGAAAGCCTGGATGGCTTCTGATACGTATAAGTTGACAACCGGACTAGCTAGTGAGGGATCCCCGTGTCAGTCAAGAATTTAAGTGGAGATTTGAGCTTTAAGAATATAGTTTTAAGAGTTAAGCTTTTTAATAGTGGAAGTACAAAACAACTTCCACTCAGTTAAGTAAAGTGATCAAGTATTAATAAGATGTTAAACGTAAGGGCGTAGACTGACCCCATCTCACTCACCAGTTTGAAGAGCTAGAGGAGGAGCTAGAGGAGCAGTTAGTGAGCAGCGAGTTCGAGGGCAGCCAGCTAGAGGAGGGCAGTATAAGCGTCACATAGGATGTTTAGTCAGGGTTTTCAGTAGCAACAACATTAGATATTATTAGTTATATACATTTATGATTATGAGTACAGTCTGGAAATCATTTTGAGATTTTAAGTATTGAGATTGCCCATGTGTTAGTGCGTTGCCTTGAACTACAAAAGTGTGTTTGCAGTATTTTATTTTTTTGAAATTTTTCCCGTTGCTTTAGCGTTTATGGTTGTTGAGTATTTTCAATTTAACAAGGGTATTTTAGTAAAAGTAGTACCTGGCCGGGTTAGGGTGTTACATTCTCAATTATCCCTTCCGGGAGGGAGGTATACCTCGTCCTGCACTGACCGCTAAAGGTGATAGGCTCGGCACAAGTCTGAGTCCGATGCGTTGATGAGTTGCATCTTTAGCATGAAGGCACAAAGATGGTCCGCGGGATCTGAGGTCCCGCTATACGTGGGCAGTTCTAGAGAAGAGAAATTAGGTGGGACCGGGGTCTTGAAGAGCTCCCTTGATAGGGGGTTTTGGATGTGCTTCCCGTACGTTGATCGTAGGTGTTCCTCTAGGAAGCCAAGGTCCACGTCTTCGACCTCTTGTCCCCCTGCCTTATGTCCGGGCAGGGCTGTCGAGGACCAGGGCGGTCTTCTGCTTGTCATTGCACACCTCTCCCCTTGATCCCTCTGCGGGGTCCTCCCTCGTTTTCTAGAGGTGGAGGATTTGGGAGAGGCCGTCTTGCATGTTTGCGATTTGCAAGCCTTGAATCTTGACAACTTCCTCGAGCGCATATTCATCTTCGACTCTTGGTGATAGGTCTTGGAGGGTGTTGTTCTCGGTCATCCCTTTGAGAGGGGTCTCGAAGTCGTCTCTCATTTTTTACCGCAACCAAGTCGTGGGCCCCACGGTGGGCGCCAAAATGTTTGTGATCAGATCGTACCAAGCGGTTGTGTGAGACACCACGGCCTCGGGCGGCTTTCGATGGTCGAGGGTGGTCTTCAAAACCCGACAAGAATGGTCCTCAGGGGGATCCTGGGACCTCCTCTGATGCCTAAGTTAGAGAGAGAATTGAGAGAATTGTAAATAAGAGAGAGAGTGGAGTTGATGGGTATTTATACTAGTCTCAGTTGAGGTGTGGGCATTTAATGGCCTGTCGGGCGCTCTAGACTGCCTCCGACTCTGCTATCGTACTTTGTCAGGCTCCGTAATTGGAGGCCAGGAGCCTGTCCGTCCGAAATGTCGGCCGGTCTCTAGACGCCCTTTTCCCAAATGTCGGGCGGTTAGTCATAAAGACCGCCACCACCCCTGATCTCTGTTTTGGGCCTCATTCATTCGTATGTGGGCTTTTAATGTGTTTGGGCTGCGAGCCGTGTGTCTCAATGTTTGGCCCAACAATAACAATCACATAGGTTGACCTATATCTCGTAGCATAGTGTCATTTCGTGTTATTATTATATAGTTATTAGGTTGACCATTTTGCAATATCAAGTACATCTTCACATTCAGCGATCGTCACATAGCCCACATGGAACAACGTCCCACAAAGTAGGGGTGTACATGGGTCGGGTGGTCCGATTTTAGCCATTTTAATCACCGTACCCATGCACTACGGTTTGGAAAATATTAAACCCAAACCCACCCGAAAAAATTTAAACTCTACGGTTTTTTTCTAATTGGGTCGGGTCGGGTTGACGATATTTTTAAGTAAAAACCCAACCCAACACAAAATGTGTAATTATTCTACACCATAAAATTATTTTATAACTAATTAAAATTTCAAACGAATAAACCAAGGTGAAAGGTATCAAATTTCACCAATGTTGTTTGAATTTTAATAAAATGTGATTTACTTCAACATAAGTCTAGTTTTTTTTTTCACGATATTTGTTGAAATGGACTAAAAAGGTTATAAACATACTCATTCATAATATGTTATTCTATTAAAATTGTACACAAGAAAAAGGATTACGTGAATCATAGCTATTTTAAATTTATGTCTAAACTTTAAGCCGAAGAATGCATTAGATTAGGGAGGCCATGAGAGAAAAACATGGCGAAATATCTTAATTTTCTCATAAGTATCGCTATATACGACATAATTTTTTTTTGGATACGAACTCATACCAATAGTTGGAACACGGGTTGGGTCGGATTTCTACGGGTTGTGTAATCCAAAATCCAAACCCAACCCAAAGAGGCGGGGTGTACAAAAGAAAACACTCAACCAACCCAAAACCTTCATTTTAACGATAAATACGGGTGGATTGGATCGGGTTGGAAAGATGGGTCGGTTTACGGGTGTGTTTGTTCACCCCTACCTCAAAGCCATGTCATAGCTTCCCCAGTGTAGGATTGAGTTTCGTATGGAACTTACTGTTTTGTTGAATCGGGTCAATTGAGTTGCTCGAGCCGTGTCAATTAGGTAATGGGTCAATCAAGGTATCGGTCGAACAGGTCAAGGGTCATTCGCTTTTAGTGTTTCCAGTTGAATATCCTTGGTCATTTTTTCATGGGGTAAATTGCAAGTTTGGTCACTGAAAGTTCTAAAATATTCACGTTTGGTCACTGAAAGAATTTTATTCTATCCCTGGTCACTGAAAGTGCTTAAATGTTCACGATTGGTCACTCCCCGTTAGTCTCCGTCAGCCTCCGTTAACGGAGTCCGTTATTTGCTGACGTGGCTAACAGTGTGGCCGAGTCAGCGTGATTTAACCCGAAAAAAAGGAACCCGACCCGCCACGTCACTTATACCCACCATGTCAGATCCCCCAACCAAACCCGTGAACCCAACCCAAGAGGCGGTTAGACCTAAGATTAAACCACGTAAAATTAAAAAGAGTGGCCATTCGTTTCAACCCATCTTCTTCCTCCCCGAACCCTTCCTCTTCCCTTGTCTGCAAATTTGTTTTGATATCAAGGATTTGTTCCGATATCAAGGAGCGGCGATGGAGCTAGCCACTCCACCCCACTGATTTCCTCCACCCCACCTCGACGAAGAAAAACAGGGAATCAAATGATTTCGAACCCAGATCTGATCCTCTACGCTTGCATTGCCAAAGGATCCACAATCCTCGCCGAGTTCGCCTCCCCGACGGCGGAGCCGGGGATCGAGGAGATCGCCCACAAATGCATCGGGATCGCGCCGCCGCCGCCGCACCACACGACCTTCTCCCAAACCGCCAAGAAGAAGACCTACACGTTCCTCATCGACGACCCTTTCGTCTACTTCGCCGTCTACCACCACGATCTCGCGAAGCTGGAGTCCTCCTGGTTCATCGACCGGGTTAAAATCTCGTTCTTGGAGCTCATCGCGTCGAATTCCGTTAGGGATTTGGACAATCTCGCCGCCCTCTGCTTCCAGGCGGAGTTCTCCCCACAGTTCCGGGAAATCCTGGCTCTGGATTTGGACCTGGGAATGGATTCACTGACGGAGACCACGTCGAAAGACAGCCGGAACCCTAGCATGGACTCGACGAAGGAGAAGACGGTGCCGTTGCTGAAGAAGAAGAAGAAGAAAAGGTCGTCTGGGGTTTGCTCTATTGGGGGAATGGAGGATAAGAGCAGCGGCGGCGGCGGGCATCGCGGGCATCGCCGAAGAGAACAGAGCTGTGGTGGATTAGGGAAGAGGAAGGGTTCGGAGAGGAAGAAGATGGGTTGAAACGAATGGCCACTCTTTTTCTTCTTTCAGTTGTTAAACCCATTTTTAATTTTTTTTTTAATTTTACGTGGTTTAATCTTAGGTCTAACCGCCTCTTGGGTTGGGTTCACGGGTTTGGTTGGGGGATCTGACATGGTGGGTAAAAGTGACGTGGCGGGTCGGGTCGGGTTCCTTTTTTTTCGGGTTAAATCACGCTGACTCGGCCACACTGTTAGCCACGTCAGCAAATAACGGACTCCGTTAACGGAGGCTGACGGAGACTAACGGGGAGTGACCAATCTTGAACATTTAAGCACTTTCAGTGACCAGGGATAGAATAAAATTCTTTCAGTGACCAAACGTGAATATTTTAGCACTTTCAGTGACCAAACTTGCAATTTACCCTTTTTTCATGAAAAGATAAAGTAGACCCTTTACATATGATCATAGCCAACAATGGAAGACTTGAATACCAAGGTAGTGAAAGTAGGAGTCGATTACTTGGAACCTGGACATCAATCATTTCTCACTTCATTGATCTGTTATTTGATGTAAACAGTAACAGATCCTGAAAAGTGCTGTTCATCGGTCCCTAACCACTCCGCCTTCTTTACGATGGCTAGAAGTTTGGCCTAACATTACAGCTGAGTTCTTCGTTGTATATGTGTACTGTAGCACAGATGTTTTACAGAACCTATACATGATCTGTCACTCGCTAAAGAGATGCTTATTATCATATATTTACGGTACACTGGCTGGATGTTGAAGCGAGGGGGTGACAGTCAGCCTTCTCAGACCTGAAACGCCGGTTGGCAGCAACAGAGGCTTCTTCTCCTGTTTCTATCAGTTGTTATAGTGAGATAACATTGTATGTTTGCGTAATCTGAAGCTAGGCGATTCCATGAAAAAGAAGGATCAGTCACTTTTGGGAAGCAAGGCCTCTGAACAAAAGAACACCTAAACCACCAATTGCTAGAGTCAACATCAAAGGAACTGCAATGGAGTCTACTTCCATCAGGCTGCTACTGGCCCTTTCAGTTCTATCTTTACGAGACTGCTCACCCCAGCACTCGTGGAGAAGATTGCTGACGTTGTCTAATTGGTGCAGGATCTGTCGTTGTCCTCTCGCCACCTGTAGAAGCTGTTTCAGAACACTGTTTTAGCAGAAGATACCGAAACAAGACATCTGCCACCGGTAACCGGTTTAATCCTCGTCAATTGACCGAGAGTCAAGTCTTTAACAAAGATTGAAACACAGTTGAAGTCGGTACCTCATCCATCAGCTGGGACTCTTTGGCCAGTTGGGAGGACGACGAAGAATGAGGTATCAGTGAACCACTTAGGGGACCATTAGCCAAGCCAGTCACGAACAGTGCAGCAGGTGTTCCGGTGCCATTGCAAGCTTCAGAGGGCAAAGCCAGGTTTTGTTGGCTAGCTGAAACTTTCCTGACACTCAACTTAGAGTTGAGGTCCTCAAGACGGGATGTAAACTCATCCATCCGCTCATTCAGGGTGGAGATCTGGTCCGAAAGTTGAGCAACAACCCCCTGAAAATTTTGGAATCAAAGAAATGACAAGTCAAACATCGAAAAAACGGATTTCTGCTTATTCTAGGTGATTCAGTGGAGAGCAGTAACAAAAGTTACTAATAGTTATCATGGCTGATGGTGGTGTTGGAGAGACAAGTTACAACGAAGACATTAAACACTCACCTGTGTAGCTAGACCAGCTGGGGGCTCCATATTTCTCCCATCAAATGTTCTATTGTTAACAGCAAGTCTTGTCAGTTTGGACATATTCTTCTCATGTCGACTTGAAAATGACTGAGACATGCCACTGCATAAGATATAAATAGCTATGAGGTGGAACCCTATGTGCTCGGAACAAAATAGTCTAACACCGCATTGCAGTTCTTTAGTTGCAGTGCTATTTTTAAATTGTAATGAGCCTTGGGATGTTCGTTCATAATAATACTCTTTTCACCACAAACTACAGAATACCGGCTAAGATACTTGTTTCTTCTGTCTACTGAGGCTCGAGAGAGGGCTTCTTTGGGGCTTGAAGCTAAATCATCATCAATGCTTAGTTTTGACTTCAAATCATCTGGCAGTGCCTGCAAGTTGATATCAGAATAAGTACAAGCTGCATCTCAAGGACAAGATATCATCATCATTTTGAGGAAATAGGAATCATTTCATACCATAACATCATTTACAAGCTTTTCCAGCTGGATTTGTTCTATGTAAGTTCGAGGAACATATGAACCATCCAAGCCTAGTTGCTCTGCAACAGTTTTAACATAGAGACGGTCTCTACCTTGCACCTAACACAAAACAGCACAAGTTTGCTTTATAGGGTCAAATCACTTCAAATCCAAACAAAACCTGTTAGCATAGCAAGGAGGACAATTATAGCAGAAAATAGGAGTGAGAGAGTAATCAGTACCTGAACACAGCGGCGGTTAAGTTGTTCTAACCAGTCAGTTTTCACGCAAACCTTGTCATCATGAAACACATGGCTGCTTCTTTTCAGTATGGCAGCAATTGTGTAGCCCAAAGCCATGAGTCCTCCCAGAAGACGCACACTAACTTCAAAAGTTATCCTAGGAGATATTATGAATGGACTGTCTGTAACCCACTCCTGCAAACAGGAAATGTAATTAAAAAAAGAAAGCCTCAACAAGTCCTTCCCCAAAAAAATTTGTTACAAATCCAGAAAATAGGCACTATGCCATGCAAAAGTTAAAATGATATGTGCATAACATCTAACAGCTGAGTACCGACACAGATTATTTGCAATAAATCTATGTTCTTTAATCATCAGCTCATGAGAACCGAAACAATTCACAGAAACTAAACTGCATGTCCTTCAAAGATCACCAAAATGGAACTGTAGAATTTCCCTTCATAATCAAAAGAAGGATCAAAAGTATAAGCAATCTGATATTAACGACGTGGTCCAAAGTTATATACAAAAGCATGCTGGAGCTAGTTGATGTATTTCTGATTGAGATTATCCACTTCCAGAAATTACAACTAACTGACCTCAAACATGAGATTGTACTTTCCATCCCTGTTCCGCATCCTCAAATATGATTGACATGCTTCTGGATCTTCACCAGGAGGTAGAAGATAAATGTCATAAGTTTCCTCTGTTCTCTCATTGTATTCTTGAGGGAAAACAGCCTTTATTTGTTCATCTGTGACAGACCTTGCTGACTACACAAGACAAAAAAAGTTTTCCATTCCGGAGAAATTCAATCAGTGACTCTACAATGGGAGAATCACAGAATTAGCAATACTGATTACAGAGAGGAAGGAACCTTCAAAATATAAGTTGGACTCTGAAACCCAGTGAAAGGATTAAACTTGTTGATGATCTTTATATGGGCAGTCTGGAGATCGGGCTCAATGAATGCCTTGTACATTGGGTAAACCTGTTGGAAGGTAATGAAAATGAAAACAACGAGTGTCACCACAAGAACTATCAGAGGCATTCAACAGATATCAATCAGGGGATAAGCAAGCACAGTTTCAGAGATCTGATGAATTATTTCTTCCGGCGCTTGGCCAGCACGTTGAATATCCCGCAAAACTCGTTTGACAAGGTCAAAGTGAACTCCACCAGTAATAGATACACGAAGATCTAGCAATGGTCTTAGTTTCTCGCTTAATGCATAGATGCCTTCTATGATCACAATGCGGGAGCTAGGAACTTCCACTGCCCTGCCAAGATCACGAGTATGATGAGGATTACTAACAACACCAGCAGTATATAACAGATAATAATCAAGGCACACACATGGCTGGCATGTTTAACCATATGACTAGAAGTATTTGAAAAGATTGAATTTGTCAAGGCTATCAACTTTTAAGTTTTAATTCATTTGGTTCATTCCTTCTTGGCTTTGGCACCAGAGTAAAGAGAAAACCTAGGAGAAGAGATGCATATATATAAAAACAAACGACCTGTAACCAATTCGAGAGCTTGTCTTGAAGTCATAAATTGGAACTTGAACTATTTTCCCTTCTCTTAAACCACGTATGTTATCAAGTAGTGTGTCATAATCCGTCAGCCTTGGATCTGTGAGAAAAAAGCAGGACATTAGCATGTTCTGATGTATAGCTTTCTTGCTCTTGATGGAGAACACATATGAGATGATCCTGTCATAACTCGAGTTATTGGGATCAACTAGTTCTTGACATGGTATCAGAGAGATCCACTTGTCAGGAGTAGATGATTGAAGCACTCCAACTGTGTTTCAGGTTTAGATGACTTAAATTTTAGTCTAAAGGTATTACACACATTACATCTAGAGCAATTATTCTGGGTAGTAATCTCCAAAGTAGGTTTCTCTTAAACAAACCATGAATCAATGGTTAGACCTAGATATCCTGAAGATATGTATGAGTAGAACATTTCTAAGAAGACAAACATTGAAAAGTTTTCTTCTTAAGCTACTTCCAAACTTCTAGCCTCACTTATCTGTTTTGAATTGAAGATCTGACGTCGAACAAGTATTTGTTTTTCATCAAAGGCAGATTTTCTACCAAAATTACATTAACACGACCACCTATCAAAAAAATAAATGGCACCAGCACAATGATACCCTGAAAGCTGTAAAAAAGTTCCACCAACCAATTTTGCATATATTGTAGTCCTTTCATCTAGGGGTGGGCATTCGGTCGGTTCGGTTCAATCCGAACCGAAATAATGCATACCGGGTTTCCGAGTTCCATCAAACCTCAAACCGAATTTGAACCGAATTATAATTCGGTTCGGTTGGGTCAAACCGAATTATAATTCGGTTCAGTTTTGTATGAAAACCCGAACTTGTGAGGTTAGCTTGTATCTTTTCTCTTTTAAATTATTTTTCACTCCTAATGTAAACAATAACTATGCAATTAAATGCATCATCAATGATAAAATCAAACATTTTAACACATAAGTCATAAAACATAATTCAAATATTTATGTCCCATAATAAGTACAAACATAAAAATCCACCATTTGGAGCTTGCAATTATAGTAATTCGAAAATTCGGTTCGGTCGAAAGGACCTTGGTTTCCGAAATATACCCTTTTTCCTTCCGAATTCCGAACCAAATTAATGTTATTCGGTTTCGGTTCGGTACCATACTACTTTCATCCATAGCTCACAGAAGAACCATGGTTTGGAAAAAATAACGCCTTTTTGTGTCACGCATCATGATGTTGTTGTTCGTCTCATGACTGCAATATTTTTTTCACTGCAATTTTATAGTTCACCATTTCAGTCACATTTCAACCCCGGATAGCAACAAAATTTTCAGTAGCATTGTTTCTAACATGAAGCAGCAGATTGCTCTTGAGCACACAACACAGCAGCAGAAGGGGTTATTTCGAAGGCTATTAGGACCAAGGGAGTTCATTCAGTAATAAAAGAAGACTCATATTTGAAGGACAAAGGCAAACTGAAACATAAGATACTTACCATCGAAGTTCCCATCAATAATGCGACTAGAATCATTGTAATTGTCCATCGAAATAACTGCAATGCTAGGCAAAAAGTTGAGAACCTTCTCAGTGAACACGGTCTTTCCAGCTCCAGAGGGGCCTGCTACTCCTACTAAGATTAAGCCTTCATTCTTTTGAGCCAACAGCTGGCATGCACGGATAACAATGAAGAACCCTTTCTCAAATGACAATGTTTCTTCAATTGGGGCAACCTCATAGCGCTCAGAATCCTTTCTTTTAACAACTTTGACCTGATCTCTCAGGAGTCCAGCACGTCGTCTTGGTGAGTCAACACTAGCAGAAGTATCCTGAGCCATTTATGAGTTGACAACAAATTTCTTTCTTGCTTCTTCAGGAGGAGAAGAAAAAACAAGAGCAACTGTTTTAGAAGGAAGCAAAGCATAACTATATGCAGAGAAATGCTAGACATATTATGCTTCAACTGTCAACGCAAGAAGTGGACTGCTAATACCTATGAGGCATAAGAAAATCTTGGAATCTGCACAACAGAAGCGAGTTCCTGAATGATGATTATAACCATGAACTGAAGCCAAGGATCAAAAGAAGCCCAGTCTAATCTAGAGTCACATAAGGCTAACTCACAGCCACATACTAATCTTCGCCCTACTTAAACTATGATATGGAGGGAATTCAACTAGTATAAAAAACATCTACTACAGTTCTACTAGATCAACTGTACCAACTGGGAGAATGGAAAAGGGAAGAAAATACAACAAGGCCCATATTAGATCATCAAATTTGCACAAGTGCTCTGTTCCCACTTTCACCGAGCAATAGTTTTGATCAAAGCAGCAAGCTTTCTGAACTAAAACCTCGAGATTGAGCAATACCCTCTGCTGAATTTGGAGAACTTAAGAAAAGTGGTCAAAGCAGCTTACTTTCTGATTGAGAGGGCGAAGTGCTCACCTGGTTAGTTTCGTTGGAGCGGTGTATTGCTCGTTCCTGTTAGATGTTGCTTTCTTCCTGCCCATATAACTGTGAGTTCTTGGAACAAGTGACGATTATCCAGTTAAAGGACGGCAGTTGCTCTGGATATTATTTCTCCTTCTTCCAATTTGGTTTTCTCTGAATGAGAGATCAATGGTGTTTAGCACTGCCCATCCACAAGGTTGTTATACCGCGGGTTGACCAACCGGTCGACCCGGTTTGGCTCGTCCACAAAAACGGGTCATACTGACCCAATAAGAATTTCGCCCAGATTTGGTCAAACCCATCCAGACCCGGTCAAACCCATCCAGACCCGGTCGGTTGGCTCAATACTGGGTTAGCGTGCTTTGCAAGTGCAGCACCGTTTCGAGCGATCCTCTTCTGTGATGCGTGAATTTGGGGGGCAAGATCTGGTGACTAAGGGGGGGGGGGCCTAGTCACCAGACTAAGCCTCTCTCCACCGTTGATTCAATTTTAGATCTAACGGTCCAATAGTTTAGCAGTAGGGACGGGGGCGTTATGGTCATTTAGCTTTTATTTTAAAAAAAAATCGTATTTTATTTTTTAATATAAAAACTGTTTGTGGAGAGGAGAGAGAATCGCAGATCACTTTTCACCAAATCCGTTTTCACCATTTTCACGGGAGAATCGCATCGCGCCTCTTCTCCGATTTCCTCCTTCGTCTCCACCATTTCGTCGGCGTTCTTCCCCATTTCTTCTTCGTCTCCACCATTTCGTCTGGCTTTCTTCTCCATCCAGCGGCAGACGCTATCTTTTTCGGCGGGCGAAAGCGGTTACTGAGGGAGTTTCGTCGGACTTTTGCGTCAGCGGTGTGTCGAGCGAGTTCCTCGGTGCTCAACTCGCTTCTCCGTCTGCGCCGACGCCGGTGAATCTTTGGGTAAGTTAAAACGAGAGCGATTTTCTTATTTGGCATTTCCGATTTTAAAATCCTAACCGATTTTGATGCTAGGTCTGAATCACATTTGATATTGTTGGTTGATTTGGAGAGTTTTAGTGATTTGCTTGTAATGATTGTCTAGTTTAATATAGGGTTTGTATTGTTGGAATGGGTTGGTTGTATACTTTCTGGGTTTGCTTGTATTGATTGTTTAGTAATGTTTGTGTGTTTTCATACCTCTGTTTGTACTCTTCATGGTTCATACAGTTTGTGCACTTTGTTTCTCATGTTCATACAGTTTGTACACTTTGTGCGGTTTGTACAGTTTATTACTCTGCTTCGTATGGTTTGTTGTATTTGTTGGTTGACTTGTTTTGTTGTTGTTTTTGTAGCTGTTAAGTAAGGATGGTAGAAGGTTCAGAGGTGGGAGGGTCAAGTACCCATGCTGCTGAAGCTGAAGTGACTAAAACCAAGAGGAAGGGGGAGAACCTTAAGAATAAGGGGAAGGGGAAGGAAGTTCAGCTTTCTGATACAGGGAGAAGGAAAAGAAAGGCTGTTGCTGGAGGAGGAGAGAAGCAGAAGGCAGCACTTCGTGCAAAAAGGCAGAAGCGAGCTCCGGAGGGAGGGAATGAAGTTGCTTTGAACTATCGTTGCAGCCCGAAAGAGGTTATGAGTCATGTGCTGCCTCCTTTATCTCATGGCAGGGTGCAATTAATTAAGCAGCTGGGCTTGGATTTTGTCTTTTTGCTGAAGATGAAGAATCTGGACAATGAACTTCTTAAGTTCATTCTTTCAAGGTGGGATGGGAAGAATAAGTGTATAAACTTGGATGATGGAAAGAAGATTTGCATTACGGAAGATGATGTCTACAGAGTTTATTGTCTTCCACGGGGACCTAATGTTGTGTGTTTGCAGAAATCATCAAAGGTGAATTCTAAGCTTGGTAAAGATTATGGTTTCAGTAAAACTGGGAAGGGGACAGTTGGTTTTGAGAATTTGAGGGCTTGTATGGGAGCAGAGAAGTCTGATTCTAGGTGGGTTAATATGTACGTGCTGATGATTTTCTGCCGCCTTTTCGAATCTGTTACTTCGAGGACAGTGACAACAGAATACTTGACTTTTCTTTCTCAAGAAATGGTTAAGTATTTCTGTAACTATGATTGGTGCAGCTATGTGTATGATGTCATTTGTGATAAGGTGACATCAAGTCAGAATCACAGTTGGGCTGAGGGAGATATGCATTTCTTGCTCATTTGTTTCCTCGATAGGACAACTGTGAATGAGGAAGAGGCCAGCAACTGTGTCAGTAATTTGGTGCCAACCTGTCAGTTGTGGAGTTCGAACCATTTGAAGCAAAGGAAGGCAGCCATGGAGAAAAAGTTTGGGAAGAATTTTGGTAAGGTGTTTGTTCTAAGGGATGCACCCATTTCTCCTACTACTCGTTCGAAGATGGCTCAGAGTATTAGTGGAGATGAGAAGGGTTCTGGGATTGGAGATGAATTTCCAGATTTCGATTTGAATCTGGATGGCAAAACTGGTCAAGAGGTGAGTTTGTATGATTTTATATGTGTTCTTTGCTTACTTTGTACAGATTGTTTATATGCTTTATATGCTTTATGATATGTTTCTGTAGTGTTTATACTGTCTGTATACTTTGTATCTTTTTGCACTGTTTGTACACTTTGTATGTTTTGGTCTCATCCTTTGTACTGTCTGTATACTTTGTATCTTTTTGTACTGTTTGTACACTTTGTATGTTTTGGTTTATTACTTTGTACTGTCTGTATACTTTGTATATTTGTTGCACTGTTTGTACACTTTGTATATTTTGGTCTATTACTTTGTACTGTCTGTATACTTTTTATCTTTTTGCACTGTTTGTACACTTTGTATGTTTTGGTTTATTACTTTGTACTGTTTGTATTATTTGTGTACATTCTGTAATTATGTTTGTGTTTTCTATTATTTGTTTTGTTGTAGGTTAAGTTGATTAGGAGAAGGTTACAAAGTGCATTATCTGAGTTGGAACAGCAAGGTAAGCTGTACCGAAGACAGATAAATCAGTGTCACCTATACCTAGCTGATATCGAGGTGCACACTGATTCTGAAGGTGTTGAACTTGTTGAGAAAGTTACAACAAATGATTCTGAAGGTGCTGAAGTTGTTGAGAAAGCCACAGCAACTGATAATGTAGAGAGTGAGAGTGAAGGCGGTTATCAGAGTGAGAGTGGGAGTGGGAATGGAAGTGGGAGTGGTAGTGATGGTGATGGGAGCGATGATGGTGATCAGAGTGGTGACGATGATGATGGAGATAGGAGTGAGGAGGAAACTGATGAAGATGTAGCTATAGTTAAGTTGAAGAAGGCAGCTCTTGTGAGGCAGCAGGCAGCAGTGAAGAAGATTGGAAGTGCTCGCGCTCCAGCACTTCCGCAGCAGCCAGCAGTGGAGAAGAGTGGAAGTGCTCGTGATCCAGCACTTCCGCAGCAGCCAGCTGAGCTCCAGAAGACTCTAGCACTTGTGAGTCAGCAGCCAGCCGTGGAGAAGACTGGAAGTTCTCGTGATCCAGCACTTCTGCAGCAGCCAGCTGAGCTCCAGAAGACTTCTGTACTTGGGCACCAGCAGCCAGCAGTGGAGAAGATTGGAAGTGCTCGTGATCTAGCACTTCCGCAGCAGCCAGCTGAACTCCAGAAGACTCCAGCAATTGTGAGTCAGCAGCCAGCAGTGGAGAAGGCTGGAGTTACTCATGATCCAGCACTTCCGCAACAGCCAACAATGGAGATCCAGAAGACGCCAGCACTTGTGAGTCAGCAGCCAGCAGTGGAGAAGGCTGGAGTTACTCATGATCCTGCACTTCCGCAGCAGCCAACAATGGAGATTGTGGCCTTTGATCCAACACTTCAAAAGCATCCAGCAGAGGATGAAGTCGTGCCAACCGCAGTTTTCGAGGAGTTGCCACTTAAGGATAGTATGGATGTTGTTTTACAGATTGCACAATCTGTGGAGGCAGGTGCTGATGGTGAGCGGGGTGATAAGCTTGCTTAGTTAATGATGGTGGTCTTTTAAATTTGTAGTACATCTTTTAAATATGCACTTTATGATTGGTTTGTATGGTTTGTACTCTTTGTCGTACTATTTGTACACATTTTGTGTGTGCACACTACTTGTGGATTGCAAACTAGATTTTATGGTTTATTAATTCTAGTTCTCTGTCTTTATGTCTTTTGTAATGTGCTATATTGTTTCATCTTTGTTGTTTTGGTTGTGAGAAGACGAGTCAAATAGTGATGATAACGATGGGGTGGGGATTGAAGATGATTGTGATGATATTTCTAGTGCTAACGCTGAAGATGAGTCAAATGGTGAAGATGTCAAGAAGAATGACGTCGAAGGTAATAGTTATGTTTGTAGTTGGTGCTGTCCTTTAGTCTCGTTTACTGCAGTTTTAATCTTTTTGTACACTTAGTTACTTTTTCTTCTGCTGTTTGTAATGTTTGTCTGTTTGTACACTTAGTTACTTTTTCTGCTGCTGTTTGTACACTTAGTTACTTTTTCTGCTGCTATTTGTAATGTTTGTCTGTTTTGTTTGTGTTGTCTCTATTTTGTTAGATTCTGTGTCGAATGTTGATTTCGTTAATCAAAGACGCTCGAAAAGGGAGCTCAAGCCATCCAATTTAAAGAGGACACCATTTACTAGTGGTAATAAAAAGAGTAAACCTCCTTCCATGAAAGCACCTATTCCTATTCGGCAAAAAAAGAAAAAACCTACCTCCAAGAAGGTAGAGAAGGTAGCTCCACTTCGGACTAGCAGCCAACTATTGTATGAAGAAAAACTTATTCAATATGCTTGGAGTGACAGATTTCCTGTGTAAGTTTCATTTCATACTGTTTGTATACATTTATATATCAGTTTGTACTTTTCTTCTTCGGTTTGTGAATTTAATATAACTGTTTGTATACATTTTTAGGAATGAAATTCTTTTCGACATGGGTGAAGGTGAGTATCGCTTGTCAAGGAAGGATACTCAAACGACATGTGACAAGATTGTTCTATCAATAAAATTTCTTGATTGCTATAATGAGAATTTCAACCGTTGCTCTTCTTGTGAGAATGGATTTATTGGTAGATGGTCTTTTCCAACTGACTTTGCGGTGAGTTAATTTTCACATGTTGTTGTATGTTATTTAGTATCTATTAGCCATATTAATGCAAGTTTTTTTTGTCTTTGATTGTACCTAGTCCAAGGTTGTGA